AGGTAGGTAGGTAGGTAGGTAGGTAGGTAGGTAGGTAGGTAGGTAGGTAGGTAGGTAGGTAGGTAGGTAGGAAGGAAGGTAGGAGAAAGGTAGGTAGGAAGGAAGGAAGGAAGGAAGGAAAATCATGGGAGAAAAATTAACATCGATCATAGCTTGCAGTAATAATGCTGGCAATAACGTCTCGACACATGACCTACCTGCTTCAAGTACTTGTTTGATATGGTCTATACCTCGAGATTGATTTGAGATCACAGCATCAAAGGCAGATTGCTGTAAATTAGTATCATGTGAAACACTCTGAAAGAAAAACTCCATACTTTCTTCGTCACTGCTCTTAATATCATACGCATTCTTGGCAATGTCTCCAAGTTTTTTAATACCGAACATACTTTGAAGGACATCTTTGGGTGTTTCGAGTAGGCACCATTTGTTATCAGGATCTTCCAGTGGGACGCCATAGAACTCTAGTGGCTTTAGCTCTTTGATATCCTTAAAATCAAATGCCAGATATGAGGAAAGAATCCTCATTCACATTTTCCCATTGGTCCAGAGCAATGCTCCTTAAGCCGCTATTACAAAAAAGACGATGGCCATGGCCACCATGTTGGGTGATATAACAAAAGACATGACCACCATGTTGGATGATATAACAAAAGACGTGGCCACCATGTTGGATGATATAACAAAAGATGTGGCCACCATGTTGGATGACATAACAAAAGACATGCCCCCCATGTTGAATGATATAACAAAAGACATAGCCACCATGTTRGATGATATAACAAAAGACATGGACACCATGTTAGATGATATAACAAAAGACATGCACACCATGTTGAATGATATAACAAAAGACATAGCCACCATGTTGGATGATATAACAAAAGACATGGACACCATGTTAGATGATATAACAAAAGACATTACCACCATGTTGAATGATATAACAAAAGACATGACCACCATGTTAGATGATATAACAAAAGACATGACCACCATGTT